TGTTTCTGACTGTTTACGATGTTTCTGACTGTTTATGTTTCTGACTGATTACAATGTTTCTTACTGTTTACGATCTTTCTGACTGTTTACAATGTTTCTGACTGTTTACGGTGTTTCTGACTGTTTACAATGTATCTGACTTTTTACGATGTTTCTGACTTTACAATGTTTTTGACTTTTTATGATGTTTCTGACTGTTTACAATGTTTCTGACTTATTACAATGTTTCTGAATGTTCACGATATTTCTGATAGTTGACGATGTTTCTGGCTGTTTGCAACGTTTCTGACTGTTCATAATGTTTCTTGCTGTTTACAATGTTTCTGACTGTTTACGATGTTTCTGACTGTTTCTGACTGTTTATGATGTGTCTGACTGTCTACGATGTTTCTGACTGTTTACAATGTTTCTGACTGTTAATGATGTTTCTGACTATTTACAATGTTTCTGACTGTTTACGATGTTTCTTACTGTTTACAATGGTTCTGACTGTTAGCGATGTTTCTGACTGTTTACGATGTTTCTGACTGTTTACCATGTTTCTGACTGTTTATGATGTGTCTGACTGTTTACGATGTTTCTGACTGTTTACGGTGTTTCTGACTGTTTACAATGTTTCTGACTGTTTATTATGTTTCTGACTGTTTACAATGTTTCTGACTGTTTACAATGTTTCTGATTGTTTACGATTTTTCTGACTGTTTACGATGTTTCTGACTGTTTATGATGTTTCTGACTGTTTACAATGTTTCTGGCTGTTTACGATGTTTCTGAATGTTCACCTTTCTGACTGTTTACAATGTTCCTGATTGTTTCCGACTGTTTATGATGTGTCTGACTGTTTACGGTGTTTCTGACTGTTTACAATGTTTCTGACTGTTTATGATGTTTCTGACTGTTTACGAAGTTTCTGATAAATTACAATGTTTCTGACTGTTTACAATGTTTCTGACTGTTTACGATGTTTCTGACTGTTTACGATGTTTCTAACTGTTTACTATGTTTCTGACTGTTTACAATGTTTCTGACTGTTTACAGTGTTTCTGACTGTTTACGGTGTTTCTGACTGTTTACAATGTTTCTGACTGTTAACGATGTTTCTGATAGTTTACAATGTTTTTGACTGTTTCCTACTGTTCATGATGTGTCTGACTGTTTACGGTGTTTCTGACTGTTTACGGTGTTTCTGACTATTTACAATGTTTCTGACTGTTAACAATGTTTCTGATAGTTTACGATGTTTCTGACTGTTCACAATGTTTCTGACTGTTTACGATGTTTCTGACTGTTTATGTTTCTGACTGATTACAATGTTTCTTACTGTTTACAATCTTTCTGACTGTTTATAATGTTTCTGGCTGTTTACTATGTTTCTGACTGTTTATGATGCTTCTGACTGTTTACAATGTTTCTGACAGTTTACAATGTTTCTGACAGTTTACAATGTTTCTGACTGTTTACAATGCTTCTGACTGTTTACGATGTTTCTGACTGTTTACAATGTTTCTGACTCTTTACGATGTTTCTGACTGTTTACAATGTTTCTGACTGTTTACGGTGTTTCTGACTGTTTACAATGTTTCTGACTGTTTAAAATGTTTCTGACAGTTTACGATGTTTCTGACTGTTTTCAATGTTTCTGACTGTTTACGGTGTTTCTGACTGTTTACAATGTTTCTGAATGTTAACGATGTTTCTGACTGTTTACAATGTTTCTGACTGTTTACAATGTTTCCGACTGTTTACAATGTTTCTGACTGTTTACAATGTTTCTGACTGTTTACAATGTTTCTGACTGTTTCCGACTGTTTATGATGCGTCTGACTGTTTACAATTGTAGTGGACTAGGCCCATGTCAAAACTGACCAGATGGACAGAGACTGTTATTTCATTGATCTGCATCCAGAAATACAGTTTGAGCCATCTGGAGACTTTCTTTCTTGAATTAATCAAGTAGAAAAGACAATTCTCTATGATCATTACTATTTTACAAATGTTTGATAATCAAATTGTGTTAGTTCACTCAATGTTTACAGGTTGAAGAGAACTACTCATTTTATTTACATAAACAGTAAGTAATGATTTTTATTCCTCATTCAAAGAAGAAATCAGGGTAATATGCATTTCTTGATTTTTCTGTCTTCAATGAGCAAATTTGTAAGTATGTTAAAGGTCGACTTTCGGTCAACTAAAATGTTTACTGAGAAGAAATGTCATGTTTAATCTTCACAGAAGATACAGGAGAGTTTGACTCCACGAAGTCTGGTTTTCTCCAATAATCTTTCTGTCTGTTTTTAAACAATCTCATTCTCTGCCCTTGACTTTGATAACACCTTACATCACAAACCACACCTCTGATCTGGTCCATCCACCAATCAGAGAGCTCTAAAATGACCCGGAAGTCAACTCATTTAAATGTGGCAACTTCCCGGTTCTCGCCAGAGTGAAGGAGTGAACAAGAGTTAAAGAGCTTGAAAGTTTTTCCTGGAGAAGAGTTCCAGACTTTAACTCTCTGAAGAGAGTTAAAGAGTTCAGAGTTCTTGGATGCTAACGCAGGCGTCCAGAATGCTTCTTGAATGCAGGATGCAGGGACGATTTTGGGGATTATAACTTCTGTTTGGATAACCTCGCACGACTCTCGAAGTATTTTAGCTGCTCTCAACGGAGACGCTGGAAAAGTCAAAGGAAGGATTCTATACCGACGCTGACCTATCGTCAACCAGGTAAAAGTTCTACTTCGACCAAGCGTACCGTGACCAAGCTAAGAACTGAAGGAGCGTGCACGTTTCTGGTCAAACAGATTAATTCCCTCACACATCTCTCTGTAAGATAAATCTCCATTTTCCATCTTAAACTCTCCTTTCTCCTAAAATCATTACAGATATTTTAGAAATATCTGAAGCAAAGTTCTCAATCACCGCCGTGTGATTGATGTCTGTTATTTTGCTGAGAAGTGAGGACAATCTCCGTATTGTTCCAACTTTCTGTGAAACTAGCCATGTTATTGTTTTCATATTCTGCCAAATTAATGTAAATGTGTGATGTTAAACTTTGATTCTGCAAATAAATGACCGCATTCATTTTGATGGGTCAAAGATAAATAACGTCTCGTTACATTTCTGTTAAACTCAACGCACGCATTTACACAGTCAGAAAAATGAAGAACCCGTCTTAAACAGTATGAATATATCCTGCATATGTCATACTACACAATGTTTCTGACTGTTTAAAATGTTTCTGACTGTTTACATTGTTTCCGACTGTTTACAATGTTTCTGACTGTTTACAATGTTTCTGACTGTTTACAATGGTTCTGACTCTTTCCGACTGTTTATGATGTGTCTGACTGTTTACGATATTTCTGACTGTTTACGGTGTTTCTGACTGTTTACATTGTTTCTGACTGTTTATGATGTTTCTTACTGTTTACAATGTTTCTGACTGTTTAAAATGTTTCTGACAGTTTACAATGTTTCTGGCTGTTTTCAATGTTTCTGATAGTTTACAATGTTTCTGACTGGTTACAATGTTTCTGACTGTTTACAATGTTTCTGACTGTTTACAATGTTTCTGACTGTTTACGATGTTTCTGACTGTTTACAATGTTTCTGACTGTTTACAATGTTTCTGATTGTTTACGATGTTTCTGACTGTTTACCATGTTTCTGACTGTTTATGAAGTTTCTGACTGTTTACAATGTTTTTGACTGTTTACAATGTTTCTGGCTGTTTACGATGTTTCTGACAGTTTACAATGTTTCTGACAGTTTACAATGTTTCTGACTGTTTACGATGTGTCTGACTGTTTATGATGTTTCTGACTGTTTACAATGTTTTTGATTGTTGATAATGTTTCTGTCTGTTTGCGATGTTTCTGACTGTTTACAATGTTTCTGACTGTTTACGATGTTTCTGACTGTTTACAATGTTTCTGACTGTTTACGATGTTTCTGACTGTTTACAATGTTACTGACAGTTTACGATGTTTCTGACTGTTTACGATGTTTCTGAGTGTGGAAATGGGTTGTTCTTGTTTTTGTCCTGTTCAAGTTTGTTCTTGGTGTTTATGTTGAAGTCTATGTTATTAGCTGTAAACTGACGTGTGTCAGAGGTTGTTCCTCGTACGTATCAGGGTGCAAGACTGAGTGGTTGGAGTGACAATCCTCATTGAAGAAGAAGTTAGAGCGTGAGGCCTAGCCTTGAATGTTACAATGCTCACAGCAGTGAGGGGGCTAAAACAGATTTTTATTGGCTCATGAAAATGTTACAAATTTAGATGGGCACATGATAGGATTGCATGTTCAACTGGAATATTTGCCATTTCTAATTTTTTAAAGGTTTGTCACACAAAAGTTTTCATTTTTTATTCATTAACTCATTGGCAGGTGGACTTAAGTCACCCACAATCCAGAAGTGGCCCACAGGTCACCACCACTAGATAGTCCTGGTCTGTATTGTATTTTCTTTATAAATGTCTTGATTCTCTGCAAGTTACATGCTGATTTATGATTAAATGCTTCACAAGTAGATATAATTTCAGGCAAAATGATTTTATTTTTAATATTAAAGCCATGGCTGACAAAAACCTGTCATCTCATTGTTTCAGTCTTTGAATGAACAATTTAGTTATTTTTATTTTGATAACCAGGTGTTCTTAATTTTAATCAGTCAAGAAGGTGTCATTACTTTAGTGCAAAGTTACACAGTCTAACTTTATTGATGAGTTTTATAAATATGTAAAACTTTCAACATCGACCTCTTAAAACTTGTGTTTTACATCCCTGAGAGTTTATTGCAAAAGGCTGATGCAATCTTTTTCCAAACATCGATCCACCCTGACAGATAAGTTCAGAAACCATGATAAAAGATGACTTGTGTTGTAGCGCTGATTAAAGTTTTCTTAAGCCATGAACTCTATAAAACTGGGTACAATGCGTAGCTTGCAATCCCACAGGCGTTCCTGCCGTCCCGGATCATTCTCATGTAACCACCTTCACCCCAGCTGCTTCCCCAGCTACAAGAAGAAATCAGAAATTCAGAAATCTATAAGTGCAGTAAAGCTTTATGATGAAAACAGTGGCGTTACTGTTTTGTCTTATCTGTGCAGACCTGTTTTTGATGATCCAGTAGTCCTGGCCGTCTTCTGAGCCATATCCAACCAGTAGCACTGCATGACTCAGATGGTTTGGGTTACAGGAGGGCTCTTCATAAATTCCTGTGAAGAAATTTCAAAGCAACACTGCATGTGAACAAGGTTCATATTTTACTAAGATTATTTCACGTGTGAAAATTCATCGATAGAAACTTCTCATCTCAAAACAACATTTGAACTGATAACCTGTGCTATAAAACAGGAAACTTGAGTGATCAGCATCTACAGCCACGGTGATTGGGCCGATAGTCGCCACAGCGTCAGCCAGAGCCTGCTCGTCTCCTTGGGGAATGAACCGGTAGTCTCTGATGTGAGCAACTGCCAGCCTGCTGTCATAAAAACAAGGCTGTGTGTCCTGTTGAGAGAAATCATAGTTAGTGGTGGGCTGAATGCAGAATCACTCTCCCTTCATCATGACTGAGCAGTGGTCTGGAACCTTTGCAATAAAAAGAGCCATTTTTCCACTTTTATTACTAATTATGTGTCCAGAGCTGCAAAACCTGTTACAACTGTGTACTGTCAACAGGTGGCAATACAAGTTGGTTGGAGATGGCTCTTCCAGCCAGTAGGGTGATATTATAAAGTGAAAAATGACTATCATTTTTAACTATCATTAACATTTATTGATATTTTTACATTTTAATTCAAACCAGTTCCATTTATTTATATAGCGCCAATTCACAACAAAGTTGTCTCAGGGCACTGAACAGAAACATTCACATACATAGAAAAGCCAATTAGTGAAATTCTCTAATACAAAAGGAAAGACCATATTCATGTAAAGAAAAATAAAATATATAATTTTTAACAATTTTATAAGAATCAAAACACTGAACTCTACAGGCCTATGTGAGTTCTTGTAATTGTTAAAGAATTAAGTATCCTACTTAAAGCATAAAGGTAAAGACACTATAAAATTAAGCCAGTTTGTTGGATATCCAGTTACATTTTTAAATTAAAACTAGAGAAACTGCATTTCCTATGAAAATGCAGTGTGAATGCTTATTGCAGACAAACTTGCTGGAAAACAGCTGAAATTGGCTAAAAACATGCTTAAATGTAGCTGAAATGGAAGAACAAACCAAAATTAGCAGAATAAAGCAGAAAGAACAATTTTTTGTTGAATTAGGTTTAAATAACTTGGACTTTGACTTTGAAATAAGCAGAAATTAGCAGAAAAATTAGAAAATTAGCTAAAAGAAAGCTGAAATTAGCTAAACGTATACGAAAAGTAGCTGAAAAGCAGAGAGAAGCTACAGGAAGAAAATGGAAAGAGCTGAAATGAGCTAAAAAATGTGGAATGAGCTGAAAAAGATAAAAATCAGCATAAAACAGCTAAATAGTAGCTGAAATAGCAGAAAATGCTGAAATTATAAGAACAAAGATAAAAGGAGCATAACAAGCTGAAATGAGCATAAGGAAGTTAATAGGTTGAATGTAGCAAAAATTACAAAGAAAAAATTGAATTCATCTGAAAACAATTGTAATTAGCTAAACATGCTAAGAAAAAGGTAGCTGAAAAGAAAGAACAAGCTTAAATAAGGAGAAGAAAGCAGAAAACACATGTTTGCTGAAAGAAGCAGAAATGAGTACAAAAACGTGGAAATTATCTGAAAAAAGCTGAAATTAGCAACAACAAAAAAAAACAGCTGAAGAGTAGCTCAAAAATGCAGAAAAAAACTGAAATTACCAGAAGAAAGTGGAAAGAGCACAGTTTTCCCCAATTAGGCTGAAAGAAACAAAAATGAGCACAAGAAGTGGAAACTATGTGAAAAAAACTGAAATTAGGGGAAAAAACGCTGAAAGCCAAAAGAAGCTTAAATTTAATAGAAGGAAGTGGAGAGAGCACATTTCTGCTGAATTAGGCTGAAAAAAGTTTAAATGAGTGCCAAAAATTTGGCATTGGCAGGTAATGCCATAATCAGCACAAAACAGCTAAATAGTAGCTGAAATAGCAGGAAAAGTTGAAACTTGCAGAAATAAGTTTAAAGGAGCACAAACTGAAATTAGTAGAGCGAAGTTAGAAGAAGCACAAAAATGTTGTAGTTAGCAGAAATAATCTGAAAGGAGCACAAAACAGCTGAAAAATCCTAAAATTAGCTGAAAAAAGCTGAATAATTTTGTTTACTTTTACTTTGTTTGCTTTTTTGTGTGTTTAGTGTCATCAAATATTCCTTCTCAGCAACTTGTCTTAAATATATTCCAAAACATTCTGGAGAGAAAGATCAAGCTGTGAGACTGGAAGTCGACTTAAAGTGGCTAACAAACTGCTAGCATGATGTAGTCCACATGGTTTACGCTGTGTATTTGTACTATTATTCACATATTTGAAAATGACAGGAAATCTGCTAAATCTAGTCATTTTCATTGTTGGCAATAATTTAAATAATATTCAGTTTTATGTTAGTTTTGGTCAAAGCCTGAAAGAGCCCCCGCAGAGGTACCAAAGAGCCACATGTGGCTCCAGAACCGCAGGTTGTAGACCCCTGTGATGGAGCCTTCAGACTGAGCCTCACCACTGAGGTGTATGGGTAGCTGTCTGTCGCCTGCAGCCCGTTGTTGACCACATAGTCGTAGGCATTGGCCATCCAGGCACCGCTGCACCCGTGAGTACCGTACGGTTTGGAGCAGTCCACCAGGTTTTGCTCACTCAAGGACACAAGCTGACCTGTTTTCTTGTACAGTTGTCCTTCTATGGCTCCTGTGGTGCTGAAAGCCCAGCATGAGCCACAGTAACCCTGTAAAACAAGTCCAAACACATATCTAGTTAAAATCTAATCTAAACGAGATCTAATCAAAAATAAAGTCTATTTTAAATTCTTACTTGGTCTTTAACCTCAGTAACATAGCCCTGGTTCCTGTAGTCAACAAGCCGAGCATCTAACTTCTTGGCATTGTATCGCAGTCTTCGGGCAGAAACTTCCCTTCCTCTCTGGACGAACTGGGCATTGATCATGGCTCCCTGCAATACTTGGTACTCCTGTCTTGTCTATAAACAAAGAACAGATTGTGCCTTGAGTTTTCATCATAGCAGTGGTTCAGCTTTGTCTAAAGTTGTTGCTGTTGAATCAACGACGGAACAAAACGCCAATTCTTACAAGGTCTCCATATTTATTCATGACCATAGTAAATGACCTCCTGCCCATGAGAAACCCTTGATTGTGGTCTTCAATCTTCTGGTTGTTGTCCTCCCAGATGGCCCTCCTCTGCATGTCGTCCTGCATACAAACACATCGAGCACATTGAAGGAAGAGTTCAAGCGCACACACACTTTATGATGCCGTTCAACTGCAGGGTCTGGCTCACTAGTTCATCGTAGCTTATGCCATGGGTGCTTTTCCAGATCTCCCACTCGGTGAGGACCACCTCGTCTGACTCTGACAGCACGTGCTGCATGCCACACAACAGCATGGAGAGCAGGGCCGCTCTCAGCAGAAAGCTGGCCTGATGAGCTACAAGAACAGGAGCATCAAAGATCAGTCACATTTTCTCCATATTTGTAGGCTGCGTCATAAAAGTTGTAGCATTTCTCTGACAAATCACAATATGTGGCTTGATTGGAAGTACTGTTCCTTGACTTTTAGTAGCAGTGGACAAATGTTTAAATAAAAAATTATAAATTAATTTTAAAAATCTACAGAAAAAGCAAGGACTATGGTTAAATGAGAAACCCTTTGGAGCCATATAGCTCAGACTTACTGAACTCCTTCTTTCTGCTTTTCTCTCTTCAGGGGTCGCCACAGTGAGTCCTCCTCCTCCATGTCTCTCTGTCCTCACTCCAGCTACCTCCATGTCCTCTCTAACTGCAGCTTTGTCTTTCTCCTGGCAGCCACATTCCTAACATCCTTCTACCAACACTGTCCCTCCTCTGGACATGTCCAAACCATCTCAGTCTGGTCTCTCTAACTTCATCTCCCAGTTGTTCAACCTGTGCTGTACCTCTGATGATCTCATTCCTAATCTTATCCATCCTTGTCACTCCCAAGGAGAACTTCAGCATCTTCATTTCTGCTACTTCCAGTTCTGTCTCCTGTCTTTTTGGTCAGACGTACTTCACAGGAGAAAAATCATTCCAAGTTTAAACAAGTTTCAGGAGGTTGGACGTCACATGACTGAACAGGCTTCATGATGTCTTGAATGGTGTTGACACAATCACTTTTGGGTTTTTTATTGAGAGACCAAAGAATGTTCAACTTTAGAGTGTAATGGTGTCACACCCTCTAATTTTTAAGTTGTCTTAGTGTTCCAAAATATTTGCAAACAAACTCTTCTTACTCCCACAAACTTACCACTTTTTATACAATCTATGCATCAAAACAAACGATTTTTTTCCTTCCACCCATTGTGTCTCTCACTTCTATAGCGTTTTTTTATCTCAAATTTCAGCAGAGTGAATGGTCTTTTTGCCTTATATAGCCTACATAATACACAGTAATCTTGGTTTTCTTTACACTCCTTATACAGTTATTCATTAGACCATTTGTATTTTTGCTTAAATATATGTTAAACGTAAAATCCATATTAAATAAAGCATCCTTGCATGCTTACCTGCGCAGATCTGAGCCTGTTTTGTTCCCATTTTCTGAGGACTCTCCAACAGTGACGCAGTATCAGACTATCAGCCCTCCTTATAAAGCTTCCTGGTAAGTACATGTTTCAAATGTACTTTTACTCAATCCCCAAATCATCACCTTTACTAGCACCTGAGAGGGGCTTTAGTCAACAAAAATAAGTTGCTTTCCCAGCTCCAACTCTGCAATCCTGCAGTTATCACTTGGAAACAGCTAAAGCTGCAATATAGTAAATCCTTCAAACATCGGTTTATAACTAAGAACAACACCTGCCACAAACAGCAGACAGAATAACATTACTTATGAGCCAATATGTTTATGTGAAGTTACACTTTGTGTGTGTACAGTTTGGCATTCAAAATAACTAAAGATCATACTACACAGTATCTGCAGTGAAAGTAGTACATTTGAATCATTCCATAATTCTGACACATTGATGTGCAGAGAAGATTTCACTGTTATAACCTTCATGTTTGATTGTTTTATACTCTGCTGTGTAATATTACGTGAATGTGAGAGTAGAGACTGGCTCTTCATGAGGTTTGTGATAAATGTGAATAATTGTGTAAATGTTCATGTTCGATGAGTTCCACATATTAAAAAATTCAAGGTTTTTAAATATTTTGATACAAAATATCGAATTTCTGAATTGTGTTATTTTGATTTGAACAACAAGAGAATAAACTGCTACAACATTTAGGTTTTACTAGAAGAGAGACAAAAGCAATAATTACCACTGGTGTTTAATAATGAATAGAGTTATATGACCACATGCACTGAATTATTAATAATATTATCATCATTCGTTGCTTTATTTCATTTAGGTTACACGGTCATTTGAATTGTGTGGCATATAATTAAAGTTTAAAGGAGCAATAATTACGCAAGAAAAGCTAGTTTATTCTGCTCAGTACAGTCAAACAAAATTCATTAATTACTTAAACTGGTGCCTTCAAAGGAACACCAAAATGGTCAAATTTAAATAAATAAATAAAACAATATGAAATAAAAACATGTTGTATATTAATAGGCACATTTAAAAATATATATTTTTGTCATAATAATGAGCTTAGATACTTGTGTCATAATTTATTTATTTAATTTTGACCATTTTGGTGTTCCACACCTTACACAGCAGAAGGATATTGCTTTAAACGCGGTCTTGCGCGGGTTACCCGGGCTCGGCTGCGCCCCCTGGTGGCCGGGAGGCCTCCGTGCAGCTCCCACTGCGGAGGATGAGCTCAGCAGACTGCTGGCTGTTATTATGTCCGCCAAAGAGGCAACACCCAAACAGAGTGCGGTCAAAACAGGCAAACTGCGCTCAGCTCAGCGTCTGATGAACAAGAGCGCCGGAAGGACGACCATGAGTCACGAATGAGGTCTGCAGAATGTCTTTCAAGGTAAACCAGCTTTCTCCATCCATCATGGTCCGTGCACGCGACCTGACAGGAGGAGGAGGAGGAGGAGGGCGCTTCGTCACCATCACGGTGCAGCAGCTCGTGTCAGGGTTTGTTATGTTGCGTGTAAATGAAGCGCACAAACAGTCGAGCTGACGTCAAACCGGCTGGTTATTGACTTTGGAGATGCGCGTGTGTGCGCGCGCTCATGCGCGTTTTAAGGTATCAAATAGCTCTCGGTTCATACAATTGCAAGTTGCACGTGGGTATTTCGTGCAAGTGCTGGTTTGTTCTAAAGTGACATGGAGACAATCAATAGAACTGTAATTGGATCTAAAATAAATCTGTTAATTTTTGGTTAAATGTAACTTTAATTATTAGTTCTGGATAAATAAACAGAACTTAATTGGATTAATTAATGTTCTACAGATGTTAAGACCTGATCCTGTTACAGCTTTAAATGGATTCTATGGAAAACTAATGATCTACCTGTTGAAGTCTCTTTAGCTTTTTGCACGACCTCATTTTGAATAATTAAAGTTTAATTCTGACAGCACTAAACATCGGGTGTTAATTTAAAAACAAATCTAAACATTGCTCATTGCCTCAAGATTCTGTTTAAGAGTCTGTCCTATTGTATTTTGGGAACCAGATTCTGTGCATTAGGACTGAGACAGAGGGAGAAGAGGAAGGTCAAGACTGAGGGTTGAAACTCTAAATGTGGAGACAATGACAGGCAAAGATAGCTGGCTGACATGATGCAGAGAAGGAAGGTAGATGTTACCAACTGTGCCACCGTGTTTCTGTTTAAACAGATGTATACAGTAATCCCTCACTACTTTGCGGTTCATTTTTCGTGGATTCCCTCCATCGCGTTTTTTCAAAGTAAGACTGGACATGACACACAATTGACTGATTGATGGATGAGCCAAACGATAAGCATAGGATTTTTATTTAAAATTAATTATCTTAAATTGTTTAGCACCTGCTGCACATTTGTGCAGCCCACACTGCAGTAGAAACTTCCTTCCTCCTCTGTCATCTCTGTTCTGCAGTGGAGAAGTGGGTGTGGCCAAGAGCGCAGAGAGCTGCTGTGGCAGAGAGCTGAAATCATGACATTCTGTGCTCTTTTAGAATGTTTAACGTTTAGAAACATTGTTTTGAATATTGCAAGAGTTTGAGAAGGGTTTAAAATGCCTTAATATATACATTTATATAAATACTATACAAACCGGATTCCAAAAAAGTTGGGACACTAAACAAATTGTGAATAAAAACTGACTGCAATGATGTGGAGATGGCAAATGTCAATATTTTATTCGTAATATAACATAGATGACAGATCAAAAGTTTAATCTGAGTCAATGTAACATTTTAAAGGAAAAATATGTTGATTCAAAATTTCAGTGTCAACAAATCCCAAAAAAGTTGGGACAAGTAGCAATAAGTGGCTGGAAAAGGGAAATTGAGCATATAACGAACAGCTGGAAGACCAATTAACACTAATTAGGTCAGTTGACAACATGATTGGGTATAAAAAGAGCTTCTCAGAGTGTCAGTGTCTCTCAGAAGCCAAGATGGTAAGAGGATCACCAATTCCACCATTGTTGCGCAGAAAGATAGTGCAGCAATACCAGAACGGTGTTACCCAGCGTAAAATAGCAAAGACTTTTAAGTTATCATCATCAACCGTGCATAACATCATAAAAAGATTCAGAGAATCTGGAACAATCGCTGTGCGTAAGGGTCAAGGCCGTAAAACTCTACTGGATGCTCGTGATCTCCGGGCCCTTAAACGTCACTGCACCTCAAACAGGAATGCCACTGTCAAGGAAATAACAGAATGGGCTCAGGAATACTTCCAGAAAGTATTGTCAGTGAACACAATCCACCGTGCCATCTGCCGTTGCCCGCTGAAACTCTACAGTGCAAAGAGGAAGCCATTTCTAAGCAAGCTCCACAAGCTCAGACGTTTGCACTGGGCCAGGGGTCATTTAAAATGGAGTGTGGCAAAATGGAAGACTGTTCTGTGGTCAGATGAGTCAC